CGAATGTCTGTTCCCCCGGGCTCTGAGTTCCGGATTGGATTGCAAGGCAGTTTCGAAATCTAACACGTTGCGGAGAGACACTTGTCATGCTCACATGCTCTTTAAATGTCTCGGCTGGAGGATGACCCGGGGCGCACAGTTTGCGCCCCGCTGCGACCACCACCCCGCCCCCCAACCCCCGCAGTTACGCCTTTATATTAGAGGGGTGTTCACGCCGGAGCTGCTCGTCCGTTTCGGTAAACAGTGTCTACTTTGTGGACTGCAGTCCCCACCAGAGGATACCCTCCTCCACCCTTCAGTATTTCAAACAGAAACTAGCCATTAAGTACACACTCGTTCCTATTGGTTTATTTTGCTTGAGAGGGGAGCTCCAATAGGAGTTCCACGATGAATAACCCCCTCCCCAAATACAACCCAGATGCTGTTTTGGCTGACTTCAAGATGCGCATGCCCGCACTTCTGGGTCTAGTTTTCACTTATGCCCGATTGTTAAAAAAAAGCAAAGCAAACCAACTGTCACATGTCACAGAAGACTTTCCCCACTACTTAAAAAAAAAGAAGAAGAAGAAAAACCCCAAACGTAAATAAGCCGAGCAGCGACGTCAGCGCCGCTGGCTGTCTCCAGTTTCGGCTCTGTGGCTGTTCTGGTTTTGTGACCTCGGTGGAGATCCGGCAGGAGACATCCCGGTGAAAACAAGGTTAAAGCCGAGTCACACCAAGGCGGCCACAGGATGACCCGCTAGACTTTGGAGTCTGTTTACGATGACGTTGGAAATTAAAGCAAGCCTTCGCCGCGCCCCCTTCCCAAAGACAACCCCTCGGGGAGCGCGTTTAAAAACGCAGCGTTAAAGAAGCTTGGGTGGTTTGTTTTTTTTCCCCCCCCAAAATGAACCAACTGCGGGAAGCGTCCCCGTAATGCAGGAACCTTAAGAGCCACCCCCACCCGGCGCGCGCCCCCGGTGGTTTGCAGAGTGCACACGCGGAAATCGGCGCAGGAGGCGGTTGCAGGACCGTGTCCAGGGGAGAACCCACCGCCCCGGGGCGCAGCGCTTTCCGGGACCTGGCTGGCGATGACTCAGCCGCTGCGCCCGGGTGCGGGATTGATGTGGTGCGGGGAGGGGGCGCCCGTTGGAGGGCCGCCTCTCTCTGCTTTTGAAGGGTTGTTTGTGGCTGGGATTGGTGGCTCACATCCGTTGGGGGGACTCCGGAGAGGAGGGAGGAGGAACGCGAGGAGGAGGAGGAGGAGCTGGGCCGTGTGAGTGGCAGGAGTCCCGTCCCGGGCCCGGCGGTGACTGCTTGCTTGCTTAGTCGCTTTGTTTGCTAACTTGGGACCGTGGCTTCGGGGCCACTGGACGGAACCCGCCTCGGATCGGCTAAACCCAGCCGCGGCGGCGCGAGGCCGAAACGTTCCTTCCCCGGCGGCGGTTATCCGCGGCCACGCGGTGCCTCTCATTATGTACACAAGGTAGCTTTTCTTTTCTCCCAAGTATGCCTGGCTCACGAAGGCGATCCTCCGGCCACAGAGATGGAAACCGGGGTTGACGGTTTGAAAACAAACTTTTACAGGGCGAGCGGGGAGGGGTGGAGAGAGAAGCAGACGCCGCTTTCAAACCAGGAGGGGGAGGAGGAGAGGGGAGAAAAAAAACTGCAGAATAAAACTCACCGTGACGCGAAGGCCAGCTGGACCCCGCCAGTGCACACCTTCTGCTGGTGTAAATCATTTCGAGGCCGTTAGGAAGCGGGAACGCGCTGGCCGGATTCTGTGATCAGCTGGAGCCGCGCCCCTCCCCCACCGCCACCCCACCCCACCCCACCCCACCCCTGAGGCCGGAGCCGAGCTCGTTAGGAACCTGGCATTCCTGCAGGACTGGGCGCCCGCTCTGCACAGCGCCAGGACAGGGAGACGACCCCCCAACGCGAGCTCGTAACACCCGCAGTATTTTTACATCCGCTGTCTGCACCGCAGAAAAACAAGCTTCGGTTCTGTCCCTCTCAACGTCTCGGGGCCTTCTCCGCGTCACTGATTCCATTGACTTGGGGTTAGTTGCTGTTGCCACGTGTTATTTACTGGATTCTTAAAACGCCTCTCCATCGAATTGCTTAAGTTCAACCGAGAGGTGGCCCTGTGCTCTCAGCTACCTAGCGATAAACGTTCCCCATCAGTGTGTATTTGTTTTTTTATTTTCTTTGCGATACACGCAGTCCCGTTTGGTGCCTTAAGCCAAGCAGAGTTGTTTTTAAAAAAAAGACAAGTTAATTGTCGCGGTCTGCAGACCCTGAGCAGGCAGAGAGATTTCAAAGGACACAGACTTGGGGAGGCCGAGAGAAGAGGCCGGTAGCCGTTAAGCGTAATTGTTACTATTGGTACCAGGCCTGCCAAATGATGGAGGGAGGGGTTTGTTTCATCTGGACAGCTGCTTAGGTTGGATTGCCATCAGGTGCTGGGCCCGGCGGCGGGGAGGGGGGGGGGCGGGCGGGGGGGGGGGGGGGGGGGGGAGACTGACTCACCTAGTCATTGGATCTCTTCTGCTTGCAGCTCAGCAGCAAGGGTATTATTTATAAAATATGCAGGCTGCTGGGCTTCAAACACTGCACTGGGGACCTGTAATATCATCTTGTCACATCTCAAGTCTGAGGAGCTCTGGCTGCTAACCATTGTCTTTTCAAGGCCCGCCCCCCCATCCAGGAGGATGACCCCAGCCAGCCATCTTGCGGGTGAGTTTATCAACATTATCAGGATATTTCTCTTCAAGTATGAGTGTAAATAGCTGGCCGGGCTGCGTTTGTGTTTGGTGGCTTTCTACCAGTCAGCACAAACCTCCTCCACCCCCCCTTCTTTTCCCACAGTAGAAGTCAATTTTATTTACCTGGGTGATGTAGACCGAAGTTCCCTGAAAAAGGCCACATGGTGTTGTTTCTGTGGACTGGTGGTCTGATTAAAACGTCCTGGCTGGGGAGAGTTGGAATGATACAGATCCAGAGCCAAATTATCCCCATCTATCTCAAGTCCCGTCCATAGCCATTTATCGCCTACCCTACTTTTGACTCTCAGTTAAAATCTTGAGACGGTACAGACTTAGACCGGCAGCTTCCACCAACTCAGCGGCCGCGGACGCCATCAGTGTTGGAGACTTTCCGGGTGCTGCTCTAACCTTCCTCCCTTCAGCCCCACCAAAGTGTCTGGTGACAACGACCATGGTGGAGCATGTCTCTGAGGTCCCCCCCAAATTCAGGTTTTCCGGGCCACGGTCACTTTCGGCTCAGATAATCTCTTACAGACAAAAAAACTAACTCATTGAGCCTAGTCTTTATCCTTTGCTTTCAACATGTTGTCTGTTTTGAGACAGGGTTTCCCTGTGTGGCCCTGGCTGTCCTGGAACTCACTCTGTAGCCCAGGCTGGCCTCCAACTCACAGAGATCAATCCACCTGCCTCTGCCTCCCGAGGGCTGGGATTAAAGACGTGGGCCACCACCGCCCGGCTACTTTCAACATCTGGTATCTTCATTGTGCTTCATAGCTTCTGAAACATTTAAATGCTCTCATTTAATATCCAAATTATATTTTTCTTAAAGCCAAGATAACTCAAACAACACGTTCAAGTATGATGTAGCTAAAAGACATAAAACAAGGTATTGGGCATGGACTGCCTGGCTGTCAAGGAAATCCTGTCATTCTGGAAGGTCCAAGTTTGACCTAAGATCAGAGACACCAAGATCTCCATGCTGGAAGTTACTAGATTTTTTTTACCCCGGGTGCTTTTTCTGTTCACTTTTCCGTGTGTGTACGTGGGGGTGGGGGTGCACATGCTTCATGTTGGGAAGCCAGAGCAGTGTCTTCCTCTCTCTCTTTTGGCCTTAGTCCCTTGAGACAGGGTCCCTTCCTGAACTTGAACCTTGAGGGTTCTGCAACCAGGCTCTCTGGACCCACCCATCAGCTCCGGGGTTACAGGCACCCACAGCCATACCTGGCTTTTACATGGGTGAGTCCTCGTGTGTACACAGCAAGTGTTTTCAGCCACTGAATCATCCCCAGGAGTCTTTAACTTCGTCCTTTCTTCTCACCGAAGGTTAATCCATTCACGTTTTTATCACATTATTGCTGTCCAAAGCTGTAGAGTGAACCATTTTATAATAAGTCGAAATATCTAGGAATAAAATTAACAGGAAGTGTGTCCAAGGTTTACTATGAAGGCCCTATTGAGGATCACGAAGGGAGACGGGAGGAGAGAGGCAACTTTTCCCGGTGAGGTTCCCACAGTGAAGAGTATGTGACATTTGCTCTCTCCGAGTCCTCCTTAAATTCAAAGCAAATTCCATAAAATAAGTTATTTTTCTGTTTTGTATTTCAACCGACAACCAATGCTACAGCTCCTGTAAATTAGCAAGGGGGCTTTAGGGCAGCGTGGACTTTTTTTTCCCTTTAGAGCTGAGGACCGAACCCAGGGCCTGGGCTCTACCACTGAGCTAAATCCCCAACCCCCCCTTTTTTTGTTATTTTGTCTTTTTTTTTTTTTTTTTTTTTTTTGGTTTTTCGAGACAGGGTTTCTCTGTGTAGCTTTTGAGCCTTTCCTGGAGCTCACTTGGTAGCCCAGGCTGGCCTCGAACTCACAGAGATCCGCCTGGCTCTGCCTCCCGAGTGCTGGGATTAAAGGCGTGCGCCACCACCGCCCGGCTTTTTTTTTTTGAGACCTTGTCAAAAAGCATTTTTGTTCGTTCATTTTCTCAAATGCAAGAAAGCCAGAGTAAATGGTTACAGACAGACACGGGAGACACAGACTTCGTTCAAGAGGAGCTCACGCAGCTGTAAGAACAACCTGCTGTTAAGTGAGGAGGGCTGGGGAGATGACCGGGAGGGTGAGGGCCCTTCTGCGCTAGAAGAGGACCTGGTTCAGTTCTTAGCACCTTTATCAGAAGGCTCAAAACCACCGAAGTTCAGCTCCAAGGGATCTGATGCCCTCTGCCTCCTCAGGCACATGCTTACACACACACACACACACACACACACACACACACACACACACACACTTTTAAAGTTTGGCAAGTGAATCTACAGGTTAGAAGTTTACAAAAAAAAAAAAAATTAACAAAAAGAATCCAAATAACAAAAAAAACATGAGGAAAGACATAATTTGCTGTGGATGTATCACAAGGTAGAGGAAGTCAGCCTGATCATCAATTAACAATGGTAATACCTGCTGAAAACAGGTGGTTCGGTGATTTCATTATGCGGACATCATGCAGTGTCCTTATCCAAAATGGGCATGATGTCACTGGGCCACTTTTTTTTTTTTTTAAGAACAGATCTCTCCATGTACTCCTGGGTGGTCTAGAACTCACTACATAGGCCAGGCTGGTCTGGAACTCACAGAAATATATCCTCCTCTGTCTTTCCAGGTGCTGGGACTAAAGGTGTGTACCACCACACCTGGCAAGGCTGTTCACTCTTATGAAACACACCATCTGGCCCATGACTGTACACACAAACGCGCACACACTGTAAAAACAGTACAAAGTCATTTTCATAAACATCTTTGAATGCCTGCATATTTTGGAATGATTCTCAAGAAAATATTAAAGGTGGCTACCTCCGGAGGTGCCATAAGATGGAAGGCTGGAGTGAGGCCTATAACTACCATCATGCCATTGTAACGGCTGAGTAGTTATCCTCCTATGGATTACACGTTACGAACCAGTCTCTACTAGTGTATGAGTCTGGGTCTTGTGTTCGATCCGTACAATCTCCTGAGCGAAGATCTAAAGTGAGGGTCTGCTGTGTTTAAGGCTCTCCGGTCAGATTCTCTGTCTAAGAGCCCGTGGTGGTTAATCGTTAGCCGCTGTGAACCCCTTATGGCACTGGGAACTATTCTGAGAACAAAGGCTGTCGTAGCCTGGGAGTAGGTGACCAGATGTGAAAAAAGTGAAAAACATTATCATCTCTTTAGACCAAGCATCATGATGTGTGAACCAGGGCTGCGTCATTTTCATCAGAAATGAACTAATGAATGGGTAAGTCAGTGTGCTCCTCCAAAGGCAGAAACTTAGTTAATTGAAGGCTTTCCAGTCCAGTGATGTGTGTGTAAATGAGAGTGATCAATTGTCTCCACAGGGTGTCCTGTAGGAGCCAAGGAAATTCCTTCACATTTTTTTTTCTTTCCTTTTTTTTCTTTTTTTTCGAGACAGAGTTTCTCTGTGTAGCCCTGGCTGTCCTGGAACTCACTCTGTCAAACTAGGCTGGCCTCAAACTCACAGAGATGCGCCTGCCTCTGGCTCCTGATTGTTGGGATCAAAGGTGTGCGCCACCGCAATCCAGCCCTTCATATTTTCTTGAAAGACAGGAATGCTTATTCCCTTCCAGGCTACGTGAATAAGTGTGTTTTTTTTAATATATTTATTTAATTACTTAGTTATTGTAGTGTTGGGGGCTGAATCCAGGACTTCCCCCGAGGCTAGGCAAACACTGACCATTGGACTACACTTCAACCTTAAAACTTGATTTTAAAACTCTGGCATCTATTATATACTATTTACTGTACTTGATGTACAAAGATTGGTATATTCCATTTTAGTTTTACATTTTGAAAGCCCTCTAACATATTTAAAAAGTACATAACATACATGTGTTCTCTTCTTAAAGAGAAGAAATCCTTTCCATTTTTTTTTTCTTTTTCTTCAGAGACAGATTTTCATGTAGCCCAGGCTGGCCTGATACTCCCTAGGTAGCTAAGGGTGACCTTAAACTTCTGATCCTCCTGCCTCCACCTCCCAAGCACTAGGGCGCCAAACCTGTGCCTATTTCTTTTTAATGTGGAACTAGGGATCAAGTTCAGGACTTCCCGCATGGGAGGCAAGCGCTTTACTAAGTAAGTTACATTTCTTTTTTTTTAAATTATGTGCTTATGTGTTTGCATGTGGGTACATGCACAAGAGTGAGGGTGTCCTCGGAGATGGCAGTCACGAGTCTCCCAAGATACGTCCGGGGAACTGAACTTGGAACCTCTGCAAGAGTAGTACATTCTTGGCCAGTGAACCACTGAGCCACCCCTCCAGCCCAAAACCTTTTTTTAAATTAAAACGTTGTTTTTTATGTGTATGGGTGTCTCGCCTGCATGTATGCCCATGTATCACATGTGTGCTGGAGGCCAGAAGAGGACTTTGGGTCTCTGGAACTGGGGCTATAGCTGGTTTCCATGTGGGAGCTGGGAATCTCCCCTCCTCTTCTGCTGAGCCGTTTCCCTAGCCAATCATCCATCTTATCTTTAGGAAGTCCTAAAGATAGATGAGTGATCTCAGATACAATGACTTTGTCATTTCCAGGGTGTTTTTGTTTGCTTTTAAACTTTTATTTTTTTTATTTATTTTTTATTATTTTTCTTTTTTTCACTCTATAGCTCAGGATGGTGTGGGAATTCAGTACGTAACCCAGACAGACACTGGCCTTGAACTCATGACAGTCCTCCTGCCTGGGCCTGCAGGGGTCACAGGCATGTAACATCACACCTAGCTCTCTACCTGCTGAGGCAGGAACCGAACACAGGGCTTTGTGCAAAGTGCTCTACCCACTGAGCGACCCGACCAGCCCAAGAGCTGTTGACCATAGAGCTGTCTTCTTACTTTCATTATTTGATATAAATCCCAGACATCATATCACTTGTGGATCGGTATCTATGATGAACGTTCTAGCGTGCCAGATGAGGAGCGCTGACCTCTGTCGCCAAGATGACTCACAGACAGGGCTGGGTAGTCCCAGAATCGTGCACGCCATTGTCTTTTCCTAGGCCCTTTCTGCTTCTAGGGTTAGACGTTTTCTTCGGGGAGAACAATCACATTTTGTCCTTAGTTGGTGCTTTCATACTTTTTTAGTTCTAGTAGCCCATTAGGTCAATAAAGAGATAAAATTCCTCCTTTGGACAGGCTTATTCTTAGACACTCGTTTCCATTCTTTCTGCGGGCACCCGACATACTATGTGCCCATTTTGTTCTGTTTTGCTCTGTTGTTTGGTTGATGAAACAAAAATTTTTTTTCTTGTGCTGGGACTTGGATAGTCACTGCGACCAAGGGCTCCACGGGAAGCAATCAGGGAAGAAAAGCCGATTTTTGTCTCATGTTTAAGTGGCCATGGGCACCCCTCAAATAAATGCTTCGCCGGGTGGTGGTGGCGGCGGCGGCAGCAGCAGGGCACGCCTTAAATCCCAGCAGAGGCAGGCAGATCTCTGTGAGTTCGAGGCCAGTCTGGGCTACAGAGCGAGATTCAGCCAAGGCACAAAGCTACACAGAGAAACCCTATCTCGGAAAAACCAAAAAAATAAATAAAAACAAAATAATAAATGCTTCAAAAAAGACAAAAGCCTTTATTTTTCCTCTCTCCCACCCGTCCTTCCTTTCTTTTTCTGTAAAACACACCCGCACGCCCGTGCCCCCCCCCCCACATGCATGCACACACACGCACACACATGGAGAGGGGAATCCTTCAGGCATGCGGAGGCGGGAGGGGGGTACAACTTCCACCAATCTTTCTCTCCCTCCACCTTGACTCCGGGACCGAATCTCTCCATTGCTTCTGCACCAGCCTGGCGGTCTACAGGCTTTGGGCAAGCGTGCTGGGATGACAGCCGCACACCTCTGCATTGGGGTGGGTTCTGGGGATTAAACTCAGGTCAGACTTGTGCACCAAGTACTTTTGCCCATCATGCTATCTCCCCATCTCAAGAGGGGATCTTCATTAAATGGAAAGAAATTACAAATAATACAGGCTTGGCTGTGCCTTGTACGTGTGACTTGTGTGTGGTATTCACCACAGCCGTTGCTTATTCTGTAGTGAATCGTGTGTCAATAAGAAAATGAAACCACTTCAGGCCAGGCTTATGCCAAAGTGTAGACTGTTAGTCTGTAATTTTTTTTTTTTTCAATTTTTATTCTTTGGAGACAGGGTCTCACTGTACAGCCCTGGCTGGCCTGGAACTCACAGAGATCCTCTACCTGCCACTGCTTCCTGGGTACTATGATTAAAGATGTGCACCACCGTGCCTGAACTCTGGCTCATAATTTTTAACTTTAATATAATTTCAGCCTTACAGAAAAATTTACGAATGGTACAAAGAAATTCCATATGCTCTTTACCACCCGGATTCTACAGTTTGGTTCATGGTTTTCCACATACGCGTACATGGACGTATGTGCATACAAAGAATGGAAATGAATGAGTAAGCCTGTTCAAAGGAGGAAATTCTCCTCTTCCCCCCTTTAAAAAAGATGTATTGTTTATTTGCATGTGCAGGCATGGGCAGGCCTGAGGAGGCCAAGAGAGGCCATCCGATCCAGTAGCGCTGGCATCATAAGCCATTGTGAGCCACCCAATGTGAGTGCTGGGAACTGAACCTGAGTCCTCTAGAAAAGAAACAAGTTCTGTCAACCATCGAACCCCCTACACAATCCTCCTTCATACGTATATATTTTATTTTCCTTGAATTTTATGATGGTGTGTTGCAGATACATGGCCCACTGGCCCCTGGAGACCTCCTCAGCGTGTGTCCTAAGAACAAGGGCATCTCCTTAGGTCACGAACTTGGGACATGGACATTGCTGGGAAGCTGTTATCTAACGCACCTTCCCTTTGTGTTTCTCTACCTGTCAGATGACGTCCTTTATCAGAAGCAAACTTTCCTAAATTCAAATGAGGATCAGATATTGGTTGTGTTTGGTTAACCTCTCTGGCTGGTTGGCTTTCCTTCCTTCCTTCCTTCCTTCCTTCCTTCCTTCCTTCCTTCCTTCCTTCCTTCCTTCCTTTCTTCCTTCTTTCCTTCTTTCCATCCTTTCTTACTTTGAGACAGGGTTTCTTCTGGCTGTCCTGGAACTTGCATTGTAGCCCAGGCTAGCCTCCACTCAGAGATCTACCTGCCTCTGCCTCCCAAGCGCTGGGGTTAAAGGTGTGCTCCACCACCGTCTAGCTTCTCTGGCTTTTTTTTTTTTAACCTGGGCTACTTTGTATTTGTCTTTTATAACCTTGGCATTTTTTCAAAGTAAAGGCCTGCTGTTTTAGAGTTTCTCCTTCCAGCTCCGCATCATCTGACGTCTTCTCACACTTAGATTGAAGCTGTGCATTTTTGACAGTCACACTTCAAAAGTGACCTTATGCCCTTCTCAGTGAAAGTGTCAAGTAATGATTTCAGCATCGGCTTCCTTTGTTAACCTTGGTCACATGGCTGAGACGATGTCTCCCAAAGCTCTCCACTATGGGGATTATTTTTACCTCTGTGGTTGATAAATCTATCAAATGTATCAAAATAGGAGGCTGTCCTGTCCTTCAAACCTTCAGCCTGCGCCTCCTCCGTACTCCATCACCCCTTCTTCATTTTTCTGCTGTGTCCTGCCGTGGGGAGAGCGTCCCCTCCAGGAGCTGGTGCTGCTTTGTTTACTTACAGGAGCATGGATGTTTGGAATCCTGGTTCATTCAGTATGTTAATAGTCCGTTCCTATTATCATTGTAAAAATGTTCAGATTTACCCAGAGGGAGTTCCTCAAACTGTTTTTAATATTAATTAAATTTATTCTTTGACAATTTCATATATACAATGCATTCTGATTATTCTCCCCTCCCTCTCATCAACTCCTCTTACCTCCTCCAATCCCTCCTTTTCCCTACAAATGCTTTTGTCGCGTTCATGTCTTTTTTTTTTTTTTTTTAAGATTTTAAAATTATGTGTATGAGTGTTTTGCCTGAACGTGTGCATGTGTTCCCTGTGTGCCTGGTACCCGCAGAGGCCAGAAGAGGGCATTGAATCCCTTGGAACCACAGCTAGGATGACTATGGGCCACTGTGTGAGGGTTAAGAAGGGAACCTGGGTGGCTCCAAGAGCAAATCCTCTTCACCTCTGAGCCATCCCTCCAGCCCTCTCCTGCCTTTTTGTTTTGTGACCCACTGAGTTTAATCACAGTGGTTCATGCGACCTTGGGCAAAGGAACTACTCACAGACACTGGTAGACCCACCAGTGGGCACACAAATGAGTAGGGTGGCTCCCCCTTACCCAGCGGCATCCAGGAGCCAATAGTTTCCCAAACTGGTTTCCTTATCAGGTCCACCATTCTTAGATTGTCTTATTGTACAGCAATATGTGCCAGAGGCCTGTTACATTTTCCCTGCTCCAGCCCCGAACCCCTGGAATTGGTCATTTACCCAGTAAGTCCTGACTATCCTCAATGGTAAAGGGACTCGTTTTTTAAGACACCAAGTTGGGCTCTGGGCTGGTGCATTCCTACTGGGCTATCATGGCCTCTGGGTTTCTCAGCAGAGCTAACACACACACACACACACACACACACACACACACACACACACACACACACACCTTCATATGTTGAAAATCAGGAATTCAAGCAGGGTATGATGGTAAAGAGGTGTACAGTTTTAATTCCAGTACTTAGAAGACTGAGGCACTGGGATTGGGAGTTTGAGATCATTTTCGGCTGCACAGGCAAGAGTCTGTGTCCAAACAGTCTGAAAAATAAAATATGCGTGTGTGGCAAACCTTTGTTCTGATACTTCCACTTTCAGCCCAACAAACACTCCCGACAGAGACATCAGCACTTCCTTCCTTCCATTCCCACTTCTGGTATCTGTGCCTCTCTTTTCTAACAGTGAGAAACCTGCTTCCCACTCCCTCCGATAATGAGTACTTAGTCCTAGAATGTGGCGGGCAGGTCCCTGCAGAGAGCAGCCCTGCCACTGATAATTAACTCCTGTTTGTTTCCTCCCTTTGGCCTGAGGGTTTAAAATCAAATACCCCTACCTAAACTCACTTCAGTCAACTCTGCCTTCCATGCTCTCCAACTGATGGTGACTCTTATGAAAGACGATGAAGTTTTTTTTTTAATTTGTATTCCATGTTGTGCCTCCCCATCATTCTTCTGACTCTACAATTTTTCTTTTGCATTTGTACATTTAGCACAACTTAGCAGCCTTCACTAAGTGAAAGGTTCGCCCAGCTGTCAAACCCACAGATTCCGCCAACCCTGTGGGTCACTGCTGGAAGTAGGAGGATTATGAATTCAAGGTCATGCTCAGCTACATAGAGGGGGTTGGAGGCCAGCCTGAGCTATATGAGATCTTGTCTTAAAAAAAAAAAAAAAAAAAAAAGAGTGTTTGGGCTGGAGAGATGGCTCAGCGGTTAAGAGCACTGACTGCTCTTGCAGAGGACCCAGGTTCGATTCCCAGCACCCACATGACAGCTCACAGCTGTCTGTAACTTCTGTTCCAGGGGATCTGATGCCCTCATACAGACATACCTGCGGGCAAGACACCAATGTACATAAAATAAAAAATGTGTGTGTGTGTGTGTGTGTGTGTGTGTGTGTGTCTGTGTGTGTGTGTTCTGGATTTTGGATTTGTGTTTAGGGTTCCATATTTTTTGGCAGTAAAAATAAGAAAAATTATATTAGAAAATGCTTATATCAGGGTATTGAAGTCTTACTTATTTTTACAGTTGCATATTAATTTTACCAGAATTTTAAGTGTCAAAGCCTAGGCCCTGGCAATCCTAATAAGCTAGGCTTGGCCACCTGTCCACCATAAGCCAAATGCAGAGACGAGACCAATAGAGTGAGAAGCAGAGAGAGGATATTTCTTCAAGTAGCTACATTGGGAAAAGGAATAAACAAAGAGGTCCAATAGCTCCTTAGGTCCATCTTCAGGTTATTGACAGAGCTGAGGCTTAAACAGAGGGCAGGAGGACTGTGTACCTAAGTATTCCTGGTCAGGGTGTGCCTCTCAAATCAATCGGTCCATCTTTGTCTTGGCTCCAATCTGTCTTGCAAGGTGGGCTGACAAGCAGTCCAGTTGTGGAATTTCTTCCTGGGATACAAGTTCTTCCTCTGGCTGGCCTCAGGCGTCACCGTCCTCCTAAGGTAAGATTCCCAGGGAAATTCCAGTTCTTTGGGATCTGTTGTCTCTGTTGTGAGCTAAAGGAAAGGGCTCAAGTGTCTCTTTAGAATATCTTCACTCCTTCCAGTGAGGTTATAGTACTCCACCGCCTCAGCGGACCACAGTTTAATTCTTTCTTACCTTTGAACATTTGGACTGCAGTTATAAACGGTGCTGTCACCGTTCATCCCAGCACTCGGGAGGCAGAGGTAGGCGCATCTCTGTGAGTTCGAGGCCAGCCTGGTCTACAAAGGGAGCTCCAGGAGAGGCTCCAAAGCTACACAGAGAAACCCTGTCTCAAAAAAACAAAACAAAACAAATACAAAAAAAAAACAAAACAAAACATAAAATAAACTAAACAGTGCTGTAGTGAACAATCACATTCACAGACATTTTCATATCTCTGCAAGCACGTCTTTGGAAAGACCTTTTGTGACATTGCTTTGTCAAAACTAAGTACATGGCACTGGTGCCCATTTGAGATGGCTCAGTGGGCATGGGTACCTGCTCCAAGCCTGACGCCTGAGTTAGATCCCCAGAACTCACCTGGTAGAAGGAGAGAGTCAACGCCCATAAATTAGTCTACACATATACACACACTGGAACAAACATGGGTTGGTGTGTGGGGGGAGCTTCCAGGCTAGGGGTGTGTCTCAGTGGGTAGTTTTTGTCTTGCATCTATAAAGCAAAGAGTTTGGTCGCTAGTATATACCTGTAATCAGGTTGGTAGCACATACCTGCATCAGGAAGGCAAAGTCAGAAGGATCGCAAGTTCAAGGTCAAACTGGGCTACGTAGTGAGTTTGTGGGCTACATTAAACCCTGTCTCCAAAAAAAGAAAAGCTATTTTCTGAGCTTGTAATCAACTAAAATAATGTATATGAAGTTTCTGGTATCCTCTGTCCTCTATTAGAAAGGGTTCAAAGCCTCTCCCTCTCTGGATGCACTGCCTCCCTCAAAGCCCCGCACCCCAGAACCCTGCCCCGTTTGTTTTTCTGCAGGCTGTGTACTCTCAAAAACAAAACTACAATGGATTTAGTCACAGGTGTAACTGACTTTCGTTTGAGATTCATGAATGGGACAGTCTCTATTTTCCTGAAAGGCATGAGAACCCCCTTCCCCCACTCCCCTGGGCCCTGCACAACACTGGGGTTTATGAGGTGGGAACAGGGAAACAGAAAAACAAGAACACCTGATTACCATCAGGTCCGACCAGATCCCTGTTTTGGGAGGGCTGACTGGAAAGCACTTCCTTGTGGAGCTGACTGGAACCTCCGATCTTAAGGGAGAAACTGGTCCGTCAGGGAAACGGCTTCTTTACGGGTTCGGTTCGGGCGAGGATGAGTGAGTGGCTCAACTCTGGTTTGGTTCGCTGTGGAACCAAGGCACCTAGAAGTCACTTTCGCTAAAACGCAGTGACCCCTGCCCTGAGCCCTGGGGGAGGAAGAGCAGGTGAAATCCCTCCCACTCTCGCTGGCCGCCTTTGCTTTTGTTGCTGAAGGCACCGGGATGAGTCATTGTCCTTAAGTTCTCCACCTGTGTCCCTTTGTATTCTAGAAACATCAGACCCGCCCCTGACAGAGCACTCCTTTCCCCCAGAAGAGGGCAGTTCTCCGTGAAGGTGAGGCTGCCCCCCCTGTCCCCTCAAGCAACAAGGACTCACTTAGGTCCCCCGGGAGACAAAGGTCAACAAGACCAGGACTCTAATGACACACTTCTTGTGCCTCTAGTCTCCCTCTGTTTAAACCTGAAGCTCCAGTCAGCGCCTTAGAGCAAGGTGGCTGCACTAGCCCTCTGCCTTCCACCATGTCCTGTTTGATCGGCCACAGGGGAGGGGAGGGTTGGGTGAGCACAGCTGGTTGGGGGGTGGTGCGGGGCGCGGCAGCCCGAGTACTGTTACCCTAAAATTCTGGAAAGAGTTATGTTGGAAACTAGTATCGGAGCTCAGCCCATACAATGACCTTCCATACTCGCTGGAGGAGGCATCAGTCCCAGAGCTGTTAGGGTCAAAGCTGGGAAGCCCTTAACCAGCAAGGCTCAGCTGCTACCTGTCTCAGGAAGCCAAGTAAAGAAACATATAGTAGTGAAAGGGAAAACTAATTTAGTTCATGTTGCTACGTTAGGGAAAAAACAAAGGGGGTAAACTCCCCTCCTACCCCAAGCTCATCTTGGGAGTCCTGGCATAGGCTTAGACTTAAACAGAGGACAGGGGCATCGTGAAACAGACCCAGTCACTAGGTGTGGTCCTGCCCTTCGCCGACAATCGCTGTCTTTACTTTTGCTTCCAGGTCTATGAAACAAATTGTTGATACTGACAGACGTCTTTTTCCCGGAGAAAAGCTCACCCTATTGCTGACACCAGAGCGCTATCCTATTTCTTATCCTTTGGCGAGTCCAAGGGCTGTTGGACGCCAGGAAATGAAGGTCAGATGTCTATTTCACTGTGTCACACTAGAGAGAGACATCCAGCTCACAGACATAGAAACAACCTCCTTTACTGGTGACTTCCTCATTTCCTGACCCAGATCCTGCAAGGACTAGCTGGACTTCCAGCCCCCAGGCAGTAAAGATTTACTACATGTTATTGTTCACATGGCGCTGTTATGATTACTGATCACCGGGCAGGTGGAGAGCAATGGCTCAGCTGTTAAGAGGGAGTCAGATGATTCACAGTTATCTGCAATTCCAGCTCCACGGGACTGGACAGCTTCTTCTGGCCTCCATAGGCACTGTGCATGCATACACACACACACACACACACACACTTTTTAAAATGGGCTGGATATAGCTCAGTGGTAGAATATAACAAAAGCCAAGCCCTGGATTGACCTCCAGCACTGAGGGGACAGAATCATAATTAACACCAATAGTTACAATGAGGTATGTATGTAACTTAATTAGGCTACGGCTTGGAAGATTTTATTTCCATGTCTCCATCTACCATAAGCCTTCCATGCGGCTCCTTAGCTGGGTGTTTGTTGGAGACTGTGTTCTCTGCATGGTTGTTCTCTTGCCAGCTGCTATTCCCCCCTCACCCCCTCTTTTTATCTGCAGTACCAGAGATGAAACCCAGGCCTCGCACTCTTTAAGCAAATGCTCCATGCTCCACCACTGAGCTCTTACATCTCACTACCTCAACTTCTCCGCCATGGGGATGAAAGGAACAAGGCATGCCTGTGCCACGCAGCAACAGTCCAGTCAAAACCAGGCCACGTATATGACCGAGGCTTGTAAACTTACATTACTAAGTGACCTCGTAGATATCGTTTTCCTTTTTCTTTTCTTTTTCCTTTTTACACAGGGTTTATCTAGGTAGTCCTGGCTGACCTGGAACTTGCTCTGTAGACCGAACTGGCCTCGAACTCACAGAGATCCACCTGCCTGTGCCTCCCGAGTACTGGGATTAAAGGCGTATGCCACCATGCCTAGTTTATAATTCTTTTTTTTTTTTAATTTTTTAGATTTATTTTCTTTTATGTGTATGAATGAATGTTTTGCCTAAATATATGTATGTGCACCACGTGTATGCCTCATGCCTAAGGAGATCAGAAGGAGGTTGTAGGGTCTCCTCAAACTGAAGTTATGGATAGTAGTGAACTACCACATGGCTGCTGGGAACCGAACCCCGGTCCTTTGGAGAGCAACAAGTGCCCTTAACTGCTGAGCCATCTCTCCAGCCCCTGGTCTATGATTTTTACCACAGCCTCTTAATTAGAACTAAGTCATAGGTCAGGTCAGGCAGCTAAAGAGTCTAAGAAATAAAGACTTGGGTCTCCTGTTACAGAAAGCTTGGTCAGGGATCTGTGGAGGCGCATTAGGGAAAGCCATTTCTCTGACCTGGGTGGAGACTGAACAAAATTGCCTGAAACAAAAGAGTTAATCCAGTTGGGCTGGTCAGTCACTTGGCTAAGAGACCACTCCTCAGGAGATAGGCTCACTTAAGCAATGCTTAAGAGATAGGAGGGGAAAGCCTGGAGTGGTTTGGGAAGCTAGGAGTCTGTGGCCTGCCTGATCCACATGGTGAGTTCCTGGACAGCCAAGGCTATAGAGAGAGACCCTGCCTCACAAAAAGAAAAACAAAACAAAAGAATGAGGAACCTTAATACTCAAAGTCTACCTCTTAAAGCAATAGCTAGCACGCCCCAAGTTGAACTGTAGGGCAGCAGAATCCTTAACAGCATTCCAGATGTGGCTGTTGGAAGAAATTTCTAGAAGGACATACAAACACATACAAAACACAGAGGACAAGAGAGAATCCTTGGCAGAGTTAGGGCCATCATCCTTGGCAATGGCCAGGGTGAAATGTGTATAAATGTAGCTCACACGGTGTTTCCCCATTGTAGTAAACCAGCGACTGCCTTGTCTTCATTTTCCTCTAACTGGATTCTTATTAGTGTGTTTCTGGGTCTGGGCCATCGCTCTCCTTTCGGTGGGTAGAAGTGGGGAGGACAGGTACCACATCTTTCAAAGGTCTTGTGAGGAACCTCAAATGAGGAGGGCACCTCTCTCCCAGTCACTGGAGCTGGATTTAACGTTGCAGTAGCTGGTTGGAGCTTTGCTTTAGAGTTCTTGTCCCTCTGTGTGCATTCTCTTCTCTTCCTCTAGCACATGGCCACTGCCAAAAACCCCAAAGTGACAACAGATATTGATTAAAGAGCTTGTGTGTGTGTGTGTGTGTGTGTCTGTCTGTCTGTCTGTGTCTATATAGGATCAACATCCAATGCCTTCCTCAATTACTCCCCACCCTTATTTTTTTATTTAAAAAATATTTATTTTACTTATGCGTGTATGTGTCTGTGCATGTGTGTCTCTGTGAACGTATGTTCTCATGTGTATAAACTGTGCAATACATGCCCCAGAAGAGGGCAGTAGGTCCTTTGGAGTTGACGGTACAGGGCCTACTTGTGACTTTCTACGTACTGGGGATCTGATCTCTGGTCTTCGTGAAAGCCAAGGACACACTAGCAATGAGCCATCTCTCCAGCTCCTTCACCTTCTTTTTCAAGCCAGGATTTCTCACAGAATCTGGGGCTCACCAAATCAACTAGACTGGCTGGCCAGAAAGGTCCAGGGACCCACCCATTTCTGTCTCGACATGTCACGAGTTTTAGGGATCAAACGTAACAACCAACTGAGCCATTTTCCCAGCCCCAACTTCTTCCTTCTCACCTTGCAAACCAGTGTGGTCATGTGATTATTTAAGCCAGTGGTGAGTGAAAATGAGGTGGGTGACTTTCAAGTGATTTCTTTCTTTCTTTCTTTCTTTTTTTCTTTTTTGGTTTTTTTGAGACAGGATTTCTTTGTGTAGCTTTGGAGCTCACTCTGTAGATCATGCTGGCCTTGAACTCACAGAGTTCGCCTTGAACTTACCTGCCTCTGCCCAACTCAAATGATTTCTTTAAAGACAAAGAAACTGGACTCTTGTATAGGCAAGAATGTGGAGGTCAGCTAGCTTCTGTCATGTGGCTACGACACCAACCTGGAGGTAACACAAGAGGAGAGGACTCTGGATTGTTGCCTAACTTTGGATTCAGCTTCATTGTAACATGGGAAGGAAAAAAGTTCCTACCTTTTTGGAGTCCTGTGTTTTGTGTTTCTTTACCAATAGCTTACATGGCAAGACCCAATCTCAGAAAACAAGAGCTAGGGTTAAGCTCAATGATGCGGCAGTTCCTTAGCATATTCAAGGCCTTAGCCATGACTCCGACAACCCCTAGCCACCCCTGACAAAGGCAATGTGAAACCTACTGTTGTACATTGTAAATATCTGAGTATCCGTTTATTTATGATCAGACATATTTTATGGAGGAAAACCCAGACTTTATCAAAATTCAACAAGTCAAAGGGTGAGTCAATAGCAAGAGCCAGAATCAGTTCCTTCAGTCAATGCTGGCATTCCCAGTGAGTCTTTGATGAACCACATCCTTGGCTAGACGCTGGGAACTAGAAATGAGTAGGATGAGGCTACAGCCTTCTCCTACCTGGATCGGAGTCTTTATCAGTGGGGCTACCTGGTGCTTCTGCCTGCAAGAGCAAGGACAAGGACAGAGAGAGCCGCGTGCCACACACAGCAGACACCGGCTTCCCTGCCTCGTGAAACCATTCTAGTAGCCAACTCCAAGAGTACCCAGTGCTCAGAGAGTATCCTGGCTCTTTGCCACCTTCTCTGTAGCTAGTCTCTCCCACAAGGCCCTGGCTTTTGCTGATCAGAGGCAAATCACTGTGGTCCTACACACCCCTATCCCCCTCATAACAGATACAACGTCTTTGAAAGATCCCTATGTTTCCTTATGATAAGCTAACTTCTGTTTCCTGAGTCCTTCTATCCTAGGGTGAGGGCAATAATCACCTCCCGGAGAGGGAGGATATGATGAAGGGAAATGCTCTTTCAGACAGGAAGAAGCCTGGGCCTTCTTCCTAGGGTTGTTGAAGACAGAAGGAAGAGAGGGGATATCAATTAGCCAGCCATTCCCAACTTCTCTTTCTGGGTTGAGATGAGGTCATAAAGCATGGTCAAGGCAGACAGTATCATTTCTCAAAGTCACCAGGCCCGGAAGCTTGTCTCATAGACTGAAGAAGACACAGAGGCGATTGCCTTGAGAACCGAAACTTTGTGGGGTCCCAAGGAGACAAGGGTAAGAGACTTGAGAGAAGGGACTTGGTGGGGCCTGCTGTGTGAGGCTGTGGCTGTGGCATGAGTTCAGACAAACTGAAGGTGCCAGTCTGCAAGGCACTGGCCAAGCCATGAATTACTTCATAGACCAGTTTCACCCACAGGACAAGCAGCGGCCAAGCTGACATGGGGCAGCCACCTCTGAGGCTGGAAAAGGTCAGATGAGACCTGAGACACTGTACCATTCAAGCAGTTTTTGATCCCAGGCCTGACCAGGACATACTAAGTTCCATTTTCCTGGAAGAGGTGGAGAGTGAATTTAAGGGCTAGAGTATGGATTTTATCTAAGGTAATTTACTCAGATTAAGGTATTAACTGGCCCTAGTAGCAAGTGAATTATGAATGGGTCAAATGTTTGCTCTGAAATAAGCTTGAATTAATGGGAAGACATGGAAATATTACTAAAAGCAACCAAATCTAGGTCCTGGAGAGATGGGTCAACGGTTAAGAGCACTATCTGCTCTTGTAGAGGACCTCAGTTCAGTTCCCAGGCCCCACATGGCAGGTCACAGCCATCTGTAACTCCAGTCATGAGGTCCAATGCCCTCTGCTGGCCTCTGATAGTACTACGGACTCACACGGTACACTTACATACATGTGGGTTCCGAGTACTGGAATCAAAAGTGTATGCCACCACCGCCTGGCTCAGAAAGTTTTTTTAGAATGAAAAAAGATTAGTTTAAATACCTCAATTGACTCTTATTTGCAATTCCTGAATCTAGCAAAGCTTTAGTCCCCAAAGCAGACTGAGAGAGTGAGTGTTTTAACAAGCTGACTAGGAGGTCGGCTTGAGAGACAGAGAAGAATGGGGAATGCAGAAACAAACCAACTCCAAAGTGAGTGTGGGGGTATTGTGTTCCCCAAAATATTGTGCACTCTAATAAACTTATTTGGGGTCAGAGAACAGAACAGCCACTA